TTATCGAATATTTGTACATATTTCTATTTATGTATATCTTATTTTATTGCATGAAAATTATACTATGAATTTGGATATATTATAAAACAGTTTTATAATTGAAACAAAAGTTTTCTTAAAAGTTTTATATAGCTCCTAGTTTGACTAATTTTAATGGAAGATACTATATACTAAAAATTAAAAGAAATGTAATGAAGAAAATGTGCTCAAACATTTAATAAAATTAATTTATTAATTTTATTTAGAAAATATTGTGCTGTTAGGTTGACAAGCAAATATTTTATAATTTTGTAATCAAAATGTAAGCGTCAAATAATTGTTAGAAAAAACGTTACGCTTATAAAGATAAATTTTGATAACATTCATATTAAAGATAGTTATTATTGAAGATTATTTGATTATTCACTTTTTATATTCATATCATTTTAGAAAGTTTTTGAAAATGATAAGATACTAAATGACATGAATAGATTTTTATTTGTACTATTTAAGTTTCCTAAAAATAATATACAATAGAAAATAATTTCAACCCGTTAAAAAATTTTATTCATAAATTAATCAAATTAAAAGTGAAATAACTTTTAATTTAATAAGACGGGATTTAAAGTTATAATGCTGATAGAATAATTCAAATTAGATTACATAAACTTGATAATATATTGTAATTGTAGCATATATCAATTATTAAGGCTTAGATAAGAATAAAATTATGTAATTTAGATTTTAATTATGTAATAGACATTTTATTTGTAGTGAAAAATCCATAAAGTAGAAATTAGGGTTTAAAATCAAATTAATTCTTTTAGTTATATATGTGGAATCCAAGTATCTATGACTTTAAAATTTTCTTAACAAAACATTATTCTAATATTTCTAATCCAATTTCAATATATACAAGACTTTTCTATTTCTATATGAAAGAATATATAATTAATTTTTTCGAAAGAAAATTGATATAAAATGAACATGAAAGAATACTTATAATTTTTTTTTTATTATTTCTAAAATTGTATATGTGTCATCTGATGAAAGCTGCAATGATTAAATTTATGCAATACTTAAATAATCTATGTTAAAAAAGTATCTCAAGTTCAATGTTAATATTTGAAAAATAAAAATTAGTAAATCAATATTGAAAAATAATTTTAATTTGAGAATTTTTTTATAAAGTATTCTTTGAATATAAATATAATTCTCGTCTTTATATTGTATAACATAAAATAAAAAATTCTACGTATATTGATATTACATTTGGATTATTTTAATTTAGAAAATTAAATTTTGCTATATTGAGTAATTTTTGGAAATAAATTTAATAAAAAATAATTAATCTTAATTGATATATTTTTGTTTTAAAAATGATTAAAATGGTTTAGAGTTTCTAATATAATGGAGATAAATTATCTGAATATGTAAATTTTACGTTAGCATTAAAATTTTGAGATATGTAAAATGAATTCATATAATGGTATGGTAAATATATTTTTACAAATGTATTATAATATTATCGTACTATTTATAAGTGATAAAGGTTGTTCATAGGTAATAAATAAATTATTATTGTGCATGTAGGATTATTAGTTAGTACCTAGTTAAGCATCGGTGAACAAATATTTATTTATAATCAATCAACCATATTATGGGTAATTAATTTACATAATTGTGTTTAAATAAATAAAAAATAAAAAACAGCATTAATATATTAATAAAAAAATTCTATTTTAATGTAACCATGTACATCGTACATGCATATTTTGTTGCATTTGTTTTAAACAAAATATTCGCACATTACTGTTCGATCTAACAGATCGATAACACTAGATCGTCCGTTACAAACTTGTACTCACAGCAACCGTCCGAGGCATTTGGCCGATTATCATTCAAAGTAACACATTTAATCGCTTTCTCTCTCTCTCTCTCTCTCTCTCTCTCTCTTTCTTTCTCTCTACTTACTAATTAATAATTACATATCAACAATATTAACGTATGCTTATCAACATATTTGCAAGTAATTACTTGTATTTTACTTTTTTATGTCTTAATCCTATAAAAATAGCGCATAATACAATAGTTAAAAAATATGTACGTCTGTATATATCACTTTTCAATACTAATATATATATATATATATATATATATATATATATATAGATATATATATTACTAACAGTACATATGTTTATCTGTAAGATACATTTTCAGCAATTTGTATTAAGATATATTATGATCAAATCGTTGCAAAATCTATAAATAAATTGTGCTCAAATTATAATGTCCAAGATGTTTTGCTTTCATTTTGCTTACAAGTTTACCTATTCACTTATAATCGATTATAATTGAATACAAGTAAATATATTTTCATTAAATAGAACTTAAAAAATGTTGCACATTTTGCCCCTAAATTTTTAATGTGGATAAAAAACGCCTGAAAACTATTTGTGCTATTTATAGGAAGACAAAAGATGGTTTAAGTTATAACAATATTTTTATAATCTATAACTTTTAATATATCATTCTATAAGTTTTTTGAATGAAAATTTTATAGAAACAGGATTATAAGAATTTTTATATTTCTATAAAATATTGAACTTTATTTTCTAGAAATATAATTCTCTAATATATAACTATAATTTATTCGATTAAATTAATTTATTGAAATATTTATCCAAACATGAAAATATTACTTAAAAAAATTATATAAAATGTACAAATGTACGTGTAATTAATAATTAACATAAATAAATATTTAATATTTCGTAAATAAATATATAAAGAAATCCTTTATAAGTACTTCTATGCTATTATATTTCATTCATTATTGAATATAAAATATTGCGGATTCAAATATTAAATAATTTTTGTTGCTTTATTTATATATAAATATATAAAACAGTATAATTACGCTACTGAGAAGACATACTAGTTAATTTAGTACAAAAGATATCTTCATTAAAAGTATTAACATTTTTATTATTTATAGAGTAAAAATTTGTATGAAACTATTGTTAGAATTTATAATGCACATGAGCATTAATTAAATGAAATATAAGATATAAAGAATATTCGGTATAAATTAAATAATATTGTTAAATACATAGTGTCGTTTTTTAATTTTTTTAGTGTTCAAAAAAATCGAAATTCGAAAACTATTGTTCATTAATGAAATATGTAATTTAATTTTTTATCGAATGTCCGTATATTATTTCATGAAAGTGTATGAATACGTAGGCATTTATAAAATGTATATAATATGAGTTGAAAAAATTGAGTCAAAACCTTCCTTAAAATTTACTTAAAATTATTTATAAATACAAATTTAAACATGCCTAAAAATTACAGACCGTTACATCTAGTTATTATCTTTAAAACTTTAAATTAATAAAAAAAAAGAAAGGATACAATCGTTTCTTATGCAATCAGAAAAAGTGTCGAAAGGTTAATGAAAGGCAGGCAGTCTGAAAGATAGAAAGGGGATTTGACAATTTCTTCAAGCAACGTATACATACAAATACCCTTGCGTAAGTATGACTCTTCTCCTATTCGCAATTTGACTTGTGTATGGACAAAGTGGTCGCATATTCATACACGAAAGATAACGATGATATTTACTTATCTATCTGATGTCATTCGCGAATTTATCTACCCTTTTTAACTTCTTCTTTGTCCAATCGTTTTTTTATCTGTTTCTTTTTCAGTTGCTTCGTTTAAGCATAAATTGGTACGTACATAAGAAGGTCATATAAAGATACATAAGCCTATTATCTTTTATGTTTCAGTTTCTACAGTAACAATAACAATACGTTATTCAGTGTAGAAAACTTAAAAGCGAGAAGAAAGATAATTTACAAAATCAAAGAGTGAGAATGAAGCAAAATTGCAATACATAAATAAATAGAGTACATTTTTGAGTGGTTATTAATGAAATATGCATGTTCGTATTTGTTAGAGTAATTTATATCTAAATTCTCTGAAATCTAATATTTATTTTTTACCGATTCCAATTACTATTTCTTTCACAGAATGGAACAGTGAGTGTACACGTTAATATAAATAAATTAAAAGAGAAAAAAAAACAGTTTAAGTAGATCTCATTTAAGTATATCTATTGTTTTGACCAGTTCAGACTGGCATGAATAACTTGTAAGCTAACGAGTCAATGGCAAAAGCATTTAAATTTAATTTACATTAATTTAAATGTTTTCTATGTAATTTACTTGTTTATACAAAAATTTGATTTTTAATTTTAATAAATCTTCTAAGATATCGATCGAAATTTGTATTTAAAATAATGCATTTATGAAAATTATTTAATTATTATGAAACCTTGTTTAAAATTATTAAATTGAATATTGATTTTAACTGTTACAAATCACTTCAACTTCAAATTCATATTCAACAATTATTTCAGACTAATGCCTGTGGAAATATTGTAATATCTCAGTGGGGTAAGAAAATATTATTGTACGAAAAAGATGTTTATTATAAAATTAAAAGTATAATCTCAGTTATTTTTAAACGTGTAAAGTAATTTGAAGTTTTGAGTATTTAACAATATGATATAATAAATGATTACTATCTGAAGAATAAAATAAGCAATTGAAAATTAGATTTTATATATAAAGTTATTAACTATGTCATATAAATATTTAAGATAGTCAATTTTTATTAATTATTATTACTAATTGTTTAAATGAATAATGTAATAGATTTACAATTTGCTAATTCTCGCTCAATAATTATATTTAAAATTCTCTTTTAATGTCGCTCTTATATATATATATATATAATTTCTTCTATTGTAACATTACCCAAAAGTGAAAAATCTTTTATTGCTTCATTTAAATGTATAGATAGATGAGTGTAGGCTTTAAATATTCTAAGAATATAAAATTCTTATTAAGAATATAATATTCTTAGAACATAATAACTTAGTCAATTAAAAATTTGTTTACGCACTAATGCTACTATTTTTAATTTGAAATATATAGGAAGATGAACATGAACACATTTCGCTTTAATAAATCAATGTATAATTTTATATTAAAGAAACTGATGAAAAATGGATCGTTTGTTGATCGAGTATTAAATATATCGTCTCTTAATTGGATCCTTCTAACAACAGTCTTTTAAAAATTTTATAAGACAACTAGGTCATATCTTCTTCAGATTATCAGCTAAGCAACCGATTATATATTCATGTATTCATCATATTATACCCTGAATTAACTCATCGATCAACAAATACTGGTTATCATAAACACTATCAATGACTAAAAATAGAAAAAGAAAAAACGCTTTAATATCATTCACGTACAAAAAGACACTTTTACTCACACAGTCATCAAATAAAGGATCAAAAGAGCACCATAATTTTTTATTTAATATTTCGCTGGATTGTCAGTCTCGAATCATAGAAGTACATTAGATTTTAAACCCTTTAAAGCTTTGTACCTTTTTGTACTTCATTTGTCACCTCCAGTGTGACTTTTTTAAGGGCATCCAGTTTATCTATGTAAGTATTATCCAGCTGTACAGTATGCTCTACCTTCTTTCTTTCTGACTTTATCGAATCATCACTGAAACTTGTGTGTCCAGTTCCATTCGCTGTATTATTGTTTTCACTATAGTGTGAACTCGTGGCATACAATCTTTGTTTACCAGGCATCATCTTCGATAATTTTAAGATATATGGATGTAATAAATGTTCTTCATATGTATCTTCTTTTGAATCGGCAGTTAATAAACTGACGATGATTCCAACAATGATGGTCGACATACTCCCTATTAATGCATAATACATATAAGTAATTCCGTAAATATTATCTAGAATACTTTCTGGAGTTTCCTCATCAAATAAATCGTTTTTGGTAGCACTAGACCACAATACTGGCATTCCATCTTTCGATTTTACCAAGAGCGACGAAAAAGTGTCATTTTGACAACCATCCGTTGAAAGTGGCAAAGACTCGGTCGGAATATCTAAACTAAGGCGACCGAAAGTTAACCAGAGAGTCGTCACATGACTGAAAATCATCCCTGCTGATGCTCCCTTCCAATTTGCACATGGTACCAACATAGCTAATACGAACACTCCGAGAAGTGGTCCAGAAGTGGCGGAAGTCATAAGCATTGATGATTCGATCACACCCGATAACATTCCAACAAGGAAACTAACACCAATAATAAAAATACCGTAAAAGACAGATAAAGACTTGATTATTTTAAGTTGCTGTGTATCCTTAAGATTTTTTAAAGCTGGAATTTGTCCGAGAAAATCTTCAAAAGTGACGGTAGCCAAGGAGTTGAGAATAGAAACGGTAATAGTCAAGGAGCTGTTGAAAAGTGTTGCCATTACCAAACCCAACAAACCTGGCAGATAGACGAACTTATCCTCCACGTAGAATGGCACTATCTCATCGAATTTAGACGTATAGCCTAAACTCATTGGATCACAGTCGGCATAATTGGCGAAAATTACCATGCCGACAACCCAGGAAAGTGAAAAAAGTACGGTAATTACTGGGATGTTGGCCATCATTGTTCTATACAACACAAATCAATAAAACTAATTAGATATTGTAACTTGGTAGCATTATAATGACAAAAATTCACTTTATATTTATTATATTTATAATCGATAATTAATTCAATACATACACACATATATATATATATATATATATATATAGATTTCAACAGATAATACAAAATCATTTTTTATATTATTTTTAAAACATATATGTTCAAAATTTATAATAATTTATAATAATTTAAAATATACGAATAATAATAATTCGTCATAAAAGAATTTGTTAACTTTTGAGTATTATTAAATAATTAGATGTTTATATTTGAAACCATTTAATTATGAAAATTAGTACTAAAAATAGAATTCTATAACGATCATTTTCATGTTATAACATTAATAAATAAATTAATTAATTATCAATATATACATTTTAATAACCATTAGCTAATGATATTTATATTATTTTTTATGCTCATATATGTAATAATTGCCATAAATGTTAACAAATATATGTTTATTTTTTTCAAAAGTGTATTATAAGTTGCATTTCTATTTTTACGCTTTTCAAATATAAGTCATATCTTTTAGAAATAAAAAAGTTTTTATCGTAATTTATAGGGATTAATACATACTTAACAACTTTACTACGACTGCTCATGCTGCAATAACGCTGGACAAAGTTTTGCTGGCAACCAAAGATAGAGAGACTCATGAAAAGCTGACCTAAAATTGCTGATACGGTATTAACTCGAATAGTCGGATCCATGTCAAAACTGTAAAAAAAATTTTTGTATCAAGACTCTTATTACTAAAAAGATGTTAATATATATATGAAAAAAAAAAAAAAAAAAAAAAAAAAAATTTTTTTATCAAAATATATTATAAAACATGACAAAAATTATCAATAATGTTATGCATACTTAAAAAAGTCAAGGCGACCACGTTGACTAGTAACATTTACAACTGTATTGAATCCTCCAGCATCTACGGTCCCATGAATTATAATTACTATTGAAACTCCAATCATCGTCAGACCTTGAATAACGTCAGATAGTATTGCAGCTTTCAATCCTCCCTTTATAAAAACATAAATTAAATAACAAAAATTTGTATGACATACATTATCAGCTTGTTTATTAGAATTTTCAGAAGATAGAAAATTGATAGGAAAATACGTTTTAAACATTAAATTACCATTAATGTAAAAACAATTGATATCGCAGTAATTCCACATATACTCGCCCAGTAAGGAAGACCAATTACAGTTTTTAAAGCGACGCAAGGCGTAAACACTGTTACAGAGACATTCAAAAGACTTCTGATGACGTATGAAAAACTGGCGAGGCAACGAACTAATTTCGATTTGAACCTAAAAATGTTTAAAACACAGACACTTTATAAATGTTTGAGACTATCCATAATTATTATTTATAGTTTGTATGGTAAAGATTTATTCCTTAATAGCACATATCAAAAATTCCGTTATTATAAAAATAAATTCATACAATGTAACACGTACAAAGTTTCACTTTTTTCCTAATATCGCAAAAATCTTTATCAAGAGGATAACAATAAAATAATGAATATATATTTTTATTATTCAAAATATTTGAAACGAAAATGTTATAAACTTTTCTTGAAATTGTACGAAAATTCGCCAAACCTTATGTTCGTTGCAAAATATCATATTCGAGTAAATATCAGTATAAAATATGTTTATTTTTAACAAAATTTAATAAAGAAATTTCTTTTTATATTAAAACAACAATTATTTATACTGTCGGTAAATTTTACAAATGTTATTATATTAACATAACTTTATTTTAAATAAAATATATTTTTATTTTAAATTTGAATTTTGTCAGAATTAACTTAATTTGAATTTAAATTATTATTATTATGACGTATTTGACATATATTCATTAAATTAATGCAACACTTATTATTATTATTGCGTATTTCATAATATTATAAAAAAAAAAAAAAAAAAAAAGAGAAGCCAATCGAATTTTCAAAATTCTTTGAAATCTTTAAAAAAAATTTTATTGTATTTCTGAAAAGTCAAATATATAGTATAGAACAGTGGATTAAATATTTAGGATTTTATATTACCAACTTTATATCAAACATAATTTAATTAGAATTTCAATTTTATAGAATGAAAATATTGTGTTAAGCAAATGATTCAGTACAGTAGTATACGTAAGTTAATTTCAAATTATTTTTGTATGTTAATTATGATTACGAATAAAATTTCAAAAAATTCAATTTTTGTCTGTCTCTATGCTACACATGGCTACATATGATAAAATTATTCACAAAATAGATAAACATAAAAATACATAATTTAAATTAATAAGTCGTAGCATTCTAAATTTATAATCTGAATTATTATATATGAAACCCTTCGTTTAGGATAACAAATAGAACTTATCAAATACTGTAACTATATTTCTTGAATTCCTTTGAATAAAAGTCAATAGTATAAAAAAATTAGATGGATGTATTTATACTGTCCATGTTAAAGTATTTTTTTCTTAATATTTAAAATTGTCTGTTCAAATTTAATATAAATATTTATTTTTATAAGCTTAAAATATAGTATTAGTTGCAAATGTATACACTATATAGGACTATATAAATTACATAGTTATTTTGATTTAAAATTGAAACATTAAAACACCTATAATAAATATAAAATTATTTAAAGAAAACACCATAATCAAATCGTAATATGAATAACACAGTAAGTATAAAAAAAAAACCGAATATAAATTTTTCATTGAATTTTCTGTTATCTATGAACGAAAATGTTAGTTGAAATTCTTATAACATTATGTATAATAATTTAATGCTATACATATTTATAGATATATATGTTTTAATAATTTTTCAAGTACAAAATTAAAAAATAATAAACAATTCATTATATTTTTTTAAAATCAGAATTAAATTTTGATAAATTTAGATATGTTAAAATATAATTTAACTTCGGTAAGAAAATTTGTTTAAAAATCTTACGTTTTTAAATTTAAAAAAATACGTTTGTAAATACAATTAATATATTGCAATAATTTTTACAATGTAATACTATAAATTTTTTCCTTGAAGACCACAAATGAAAAATATTTGCCGATTTCTCAATTTCCTTTCAACTCTGTTTTTGTTCATTGAATAATTATTTTACAATTTCATATACATATATAAAAGATAACATATTTGCTATGTATGTTGTTGGATTATAACATGGCATACACAAAAACAGAATGTTTTGATGCTTATTCTATTTAAAAGAATAGGTAAAATATATTTTCATTTGCTGTAAATATTATATATGAAGCTTATAAATACTAAATTTACCGTATATTAATATATGTTAAGATTTACAAGTACATTATATCAAATGAAACAAAATAAAAATGTATAATCAGAAATAAATACAAATTTGAACATGAACTGAACTTGACAAATTTTATTCATATTTATAATTGATAATTGTTTTATTTAATATTAAAAGAGAATGATAAAATCGAAGTCAGAAAATATAATTTTTGTAATTGAGGTGTCATGATCATAATACGGTACTCTCTTAAATACAAATATACAATTAAGTAATTACTTTAAATGACGTAATTATGTATTTCACTATTTAAATTGAATTTAGATTATTGATAATTATTCTAAGTCTTGTAATGGAAAAAATTTCCATTATGATTTTACGCAATAATTTAAATTTATAATTCTTACACTATTATTTAATATTTGATCTGAATCGTTTTAAATTATATTTATTTATTTATTTAATTACGGAAACAATATATTTACATAGTATTAAGTAATAAAATATTAACAAGGCTCTACATATGCGAATATGCTCTACGTACTACTTTATTTTAAAGAATAGGACATTTTTACAAAATGCTTTCAATAGGAAACATACTGATTACTGAAACTGATATTTATAAAAAGACTAATTATAAAGTGATACTTATAAATTGATTGACTTTATTTAAAAAAAGGTAAAAGAATTTTTAACATAACCTTATATCGATACATTATTGTATTATTAAATTTAATAGGCATATATTTTCCAATTTTCCAGAGACTGTTTCTTATAGCTTCTATATTATTTCTACATAGAGATATATTTTTAAGAAATCATTATTAAAACATGTTTTTATTAATATTCTTATTATTGTGTTGTAATTACAATATGATATACCGTACATTATAGCCATATACTTTGTCAAAATAAGTATCATTATAGTTTTTAAATGTCTTGTTTCGAATTTCGAAGTACATGAGCAATTTATTAAATATTATAAATAATGTTCGAAGGCCGAATATTTTCATATAAGAAACAATGTAAACATTATATAAAAAGACTTGATATAGAAAAACATAATCATATAAATAAATAAAACATTTAATGTTTATAGTAATATTGTGTTATTTTTTAAATGAACGTATTGATTTTAATATTTGAAAATATTGAGGAAATATTAAAAAAGAAATTTACTTTCTATTAGATTAGTGTATTAATGAGATAAGAAAAATTACTTTTAAACTATTTATTGACAGATACATTTATTCCATATTTTAAATAATAGTTATTGAAACATAAATTTTTTAAATAAATTATTTAATCTATATTAGATATTTTCCTTTTGATAATTTTAAAAATGTTTTAAAATATGTGGAGTTCTTATGTTTTTTTTTTTTTTCAAGAATAATTTAAATTAAATATTTATAAATTTCCAAATCATTATTTAATCAAGTGCTTTAAAATTATCGTTAATCAAACTTTTCTTATATGTACTGGATACGTTGTATATATAACATGAAAATTCTATAAAATAATTTTCATACTTTTTTCCGAAAATACCAATTTGGACATATTACAAGGTACTAACAAATGCTAATTTTTGCATGAACGTTGATAATGAGGATTTATAACTTTTATCATGACGTCTGTGCATAGTGAGATAAAGAAGGCCTAGAAAGCGTGACGGAATTCCGAGCAAAAATTCTCGCGAGAAACAGGTTATAAAAGTATTAAGACGAAAAAAAAAGGTCAAACGAAAAAATAATATAAGAAAAAATTAAATTAGAGAAAAATGTCGAATATAGGTAAAATCTATCTAAAATGGTCAAGATAAAATAAAAAATAACCAAATTCTTTTATTATAAAATTTTGTCTTCGTGTATTATAAAATAAAAGTAGTAAACTATATTATTTTATATTTATTTATAAATATAGAAAAGTTTAATAAATTAATAATCTAATTATATATTTTTTAGTAATATCTTATTTTAATCATTTTATATAATATAAATTTAATAATGTGCTTAAATAAAATATTACGATCAATCATATTTGAATTACTCGTATGAAATTTTACGGTAATAAGATAAAAATTTATTAAATAATAGAATGAATCTATCACTAATCTTAAGATTAGAAATTATATAATAAATTTTGCACAAAAAGTATAAAAAATTTTTAAAAAATTGATACTGCATAAAAGGTGAGTAACGGTTGCCAATTTTTATTGTTTTAATATAAACAATTTAAATTTATAATTATTATCGAATGAAATTTATAATTTTTTAATAGTTAAAATTTTATAATACAGTTATTGGATATACACTTGTTTTTCGAAAATGTAAAGAATTATAATCATTAAATAAAGAATTGCTAATAGATAAATAATTTAATATCCATCGTTGAAATGTTAAAATATGGAAAAATAAGAATAAAAACATATTTAAACTCATATATTCTCTTTAAACTTATATTAATACAATTTGTAATTAAAGATTTTAATACTTAAATAGACTTAGAAGTAGTTTTTGGGCAGAACAGTTTTTAACCGACATGTATAAATACATAGATTTGTTAAAAATTAAATATCCCATGCAAATAATTCAGTCTGCAAATTTTTTTATTATGAATAGAGGCAATGTCTTTTAATATTCATCGTGATATTTAATACATTTTTCTTGTAATAATTAAACATATCGGTACAAGAAGCTAGATCTGCTACACTACTACTACTACTACTGCTACTACTACTACTACTACTACTACTACTACTACTACTACTACTACTACTACTACTACTACTACTACTACTACTACTACTACTACTACTACTACTACTACTACTACTACTACTACTACTACTACTACTACTACTACTACTACTACTACTACTACTACTACTACTACTACTACTACTACTACTACTACTACTACTACTACTACTACTACTACTACTACTACTACTACTACTACTACTACTACTACTACTACTACTACTACTACTACTACTACTACTACTACTACTACTACTACTACTACTACTACTACTACTACTACTACTACTACTACTACTACTACTACTACTACTACTACTACTACTACTACTACTACTACTACTACTACTACTACTACTACTACTACTACTACTACTACTACTACTACTACTACTACTACTACTACTACTACTACTACTACTACTACTACTACTACTACTACTACTACTACTACTACTACTACTACTACTACTACTACTACTACTACTACTACTACTACTACTACTACTACTACTACTACTACTACTACTACTACTACTACTACTACTACTACTACTACTACTACTAATACTTTAACCGCTACACTACTACTACTACTACTGCTACTATTAATACTACTACTACTACTGCTGTTTATACTACTACTATTATAACCGTTATTTTTAATTGGATCATAATATCATATTAATTTATGGCTAATAATTTTTTAAAATATTCTGTTACTATTTTTCTTATTAATTTAAAGAATTTTATGTTTATTTTTAGAATATATTGCTGTTATTGCTACTGCTACTGCTACTGCTATTAGCACTGCTAGTACTTCTACTAATGTTACTACTACTATTAATGTTACTATTACTATTATTATTATTACTACTACTACGATTACGGCTACTCATAATTTGATTTTATGAATTGTTTGTAATAAAAATTTTGTATAAAAATATCATATTGACTTATGGTAATAATTAAAAAAAATATTTTACCACTATATTTCATATTAATTTAAACATTTTTATTTTAATATTTAGAATATACTATGTTACTTTATACTTTAGTTACAAATTTTATACATCCGTTTTGAAACGATTTTATACTTTTGTATATATTTACTCGAACGAAAATTCTTTTGAATATTTATATATAGTTTTTTTTAGACTTTTTATACACATTAGTTTATCTTATTTTGATATTATTTTGATAAGTAATTCGATAGTTGAATACGGTTTATATTATACCAAGTATTTAATGTATTCAAACTACTGACACTTTATTAGCAACTCTTTCGCAATTATGAAATCTGATTATACCCTGCTGGCAATCGAATATTAAGTTAATTTATTAATTATCATGATTAATTTACTATTATTTTATATAACAATTCTACTTTTTACAATAAAACTCAATATAAATTTATAAGCATTCACTGTATACTATATGTTACTATATATTATGAAATATTGAGTATTTCATATAATAATTGTATACTTATTGTTTAAATATTTATTGAAAAATACTGAAATTTATACGTATTAATGTTTTTCAAATTAATTCAAATTACTAAATTATTTGAAATTACTATTTTTAATAAGATAGTTTAAAATAATATTGAAAGATTGGTGTTTATAAATAATTAGATCCAATTAACTAAAAGAATAGGATGGCTATTTATAATTTAATATTATGTTGATACGAATACAAATAGATGTAATGAACAAATTTTTTTCTTACACTTAATGCTGAGCATTATAAAAATTTTTGGTTATATTTAAGCATAAATTTTGATAAACGTAATTTAAAAAATACAGGTGTAAACAATATTTAAATGTAAATTTTCAAGGATTGTTCGGTAGAAGAATAATAAAATAAGTTGTTGGTTATACAAGATTTAAAATATTCGATAAGCCTAATAATAATATAAAATATTAATTTCTGGGTATTTTCTAGTATTTTTTTATTTTTATATCTTTAACACAAATGTACTTAATTGAAATATATTATTTCATATATTTATTTATTCGGATTATTATACGCAAATGATATAATAGTATAATCGGAGGAAAAATATATTAACTAGGAACTAGTACTTTTATCATTATTTATCGTAGTAGAACATTGATATGAAATTTATTTAAATTAATTTTTTTATTTACAGTTAAGCTGTACCAAACCGTACATTGTTTTTTTCTATGAAACGTTTTAATAGCCAAAATATGCCTTTTTCGTTATCTGTCCTTTATCGCTTGTGCTCCGATATGCACCGTAACGTTTTAAAATTTATCTAAATACCTTACATTTGTTTGTTTTTACTTTCCGTCTCTCTCTTTCTATCTCTCTCTCTCTCTCTCTATCTCTCTCTCTCTCTCTCTCTCTCTCTCTATCTCTATCTCTCTCTCCCTATTCCTATCTCCTCCTCACATGTTCCTTTTTGTCTCTTTATTCAGGACAAAGCTAAAAAGCAACCATGAAGCTCACCTCATGTCCAAGTACTGATAAACGGATGTGATCCCTAGGCTGTAGTAAACCGGTACGAAGACGAAGCACACTATCGGGTAGGCAAGCAGCATACCGTACAACGTCTCCCACATGGCGCTTCCGCGATAGTAGAGTTCCGACGGATATCCAAGGAAAGAACGAACTCCCAGGGTACCTCGGGCTATCGACAGCATCATGGCGCCCATCGAGACACTCGATCCCGTAGCGAACACATAGTCGGCCTTGGTTTCCGTCTTTTTACGTGCGCGAAACTTGCCCCACAATGGGATAACGAAAGAAACGGCAATAAAGGCGATGAAGACAAGGTAGTCGACCACCAACGATGAGGACTCCATCGCTGTATTCAGGTAGGACGAAACTTCTTTGGCTGTAAACAGAGCAAGAGCAATATATATATATATATATATATATATATATACATATATAAACATACACACGCGCGCGCGCGCGCGCATTAGTGCAGGAAATGTCTTTTTCTAGGATTCAATCTCGTTTCTAACTCTTGTATCTGTTATTCCGTAAAATAAGTTCAATTTATGAAAGGCAGCCTGGCGTCCTTCGTCATGTCATAGTACTATCGCTTTTCAAAGGATCCCGCGGTAATTGTATGACGTCATAATTATTTTAGAGTTTATTTTAGAGAGTGTGATTGTCAATTTTGATATTCTTATGCATTTCAAAAACTTCCAATGATAGCCCTTACAGCTGTAGTTTATAATACATCATTCTACCACACGATTTTTATCTAATTAACGTTCTTAATTAAGTAAATATAAATTCAACTGCCAAATATATATTGGATAGGATATTAAAAAAGAACAAAAGTTTTGTATAATTTATCAATTTAAAAAATTTATTCTATGTTTACTCGAATATATGGTTGTATGGCTTATTCTAATGATATGGGAATATAAAGACAATAAAAGTACGCTCTACGAGTATATGACAACATTGTTTAACATTTTTTAAATTTCCAAAGTAATGTTTCTTTTAATGATGGTATATAGAATTTACATCAAGTACATTCATTTTGACGAAATCAATCTTATCAAGTGGATGCTTACATAATTGAAATTGTGCAATGTTTATAAACAAAGAGAACGTCTGACCTCTAGTTTATCGAAGTTGATCAAGTTTTTGGAATATTTATTAAAAATGTTAGTAGAAAATAAATCAAAATGATACAGTAAGTTTTATGTAAAGGTAATTTTATATTATAATTTAAATATACTCTCAGTAACTGTCAATTTTTATTATAAACTATACTTAGAAATAAATTAAATAAATTTGCAGTTAATAATATTAATATTAATTTTACTAATAATATCATTAATATTATTATTATTTCATATACAAAAACTATAATGAACAATTATGGATATTATTTTTATCATTCGATAATTTAAAAATTTCTTCGAGTTTAATAAAAACAATTAATAAATAGATTTATAACAAAAATACAAAAATTATAAAAATTTCATAAGTTTCCTCACGTTTATTTTGCAAAAAATAATACGTTGAAATATTTCATTTTTAAATTAATATTAAGCTATTGAAAATATAAATATTTTTACATTAGTATCTGTGATCGTACACATTTTACTAGAAATAACGTGAAAAATAAATTTTTTTAAAAACGTGTAATTCATTATAATTAATAAATATAATTAATTCAAATATTCAACTTCATATATTTACATATTGATATATTTTATTGATAATATTCATTATATAATGATAATGAATTCGTTATATTATACTGACACTAGGAATAAAATCATTAAATATACTGTAAAAATATTAGTTTTATAATAATTTATAATAAATTAATAAATCGAATACATTTTACGAATAATATTGATAATTTTTTTTTCAATAAATTACCGATTTCTTTGTAAAGTATTCACTATTAACATGATTATAAACATATTTTCAAGTCTATTCCTATAGTATTAAACATATAATGTGTACAGATATTATCTTCTAATATATATATATATATATATATATATATGTATATATATATGTATGTATATGTATATTTTAAGAAATTGAAATAAATAATTATACGTTTATTTAATTATAATTTTTACCATCACGAATATATTTATAAAATTTTGTTTTTTGCCAATCAGGATTATTTAATAAAATTAAAATTATATTAGAGAACGTATGATTAATAAGAATGATAAAAAGTTGAAACTTATGCATTACCATATTTATATTATAAAAGTCGATTGACATTTTGTAGTAACATTAATCAATCTCTTTAATAGTAAGGAATTGTCAATTTGTGTGTATACTCCATATGGATCTTTCCAGAAACTCTTTAATAAGAATCCAATTATGTACTAATATTATTGATAGTTTTGTAGA